GGGCAAAACCAAAACAAAAATTTATTCCCAGAAAAAAATTAGGGAAAAAAATCTTCCCAGGCATATTGCAAAAAAAAATTCCTAGCTTGGAAGCTAAGCCTATAAATTTCACTTAAAAAAAAATTTCCAGCCATCAAGTGAGAAAAAAATTTCTTCCACAGGTGTACAAAAAAAAAAATTATTGCCTCTTAGAACCCCCCCCCCCCCCCATCACTTTTCTAATGGTCTGTCCCTTACAGGCATGGGCACATCCTGATAATTCAGATTAAGCCTTTGACCTTTTGTTGGAATCGAAACTCGTTATAATATTTAGCCAAAATAAACAAACTCAGTACAAGTTAACCCAAATAAAGAACATACTTTAGCACCGAAATTTGAGTCAACGCAAACTAATTCACTTGGCAAAAAACATAGTAAAAATACGCTAGGTTTATAGTTTAAGTTAGTTAGGGAAATGTATACGTCTAAAAGTAAATTTGATGCATCTAATTGTTCATTGGCTTTACGTCAATAATGTCATAAATGGTAGGCAAAACGGGAACCTTCTGCTTGGCAGAAACGACAAATGGGCAAGGCCAAGGGGCTACAGATTTTTTCGAATTTTGTTTTAAAATATCATTAATGGACTAAAAGGCTCACTATATAGGTGATAGCAAAGTCACTCTATAAAACTTAGCCCACATCTTTGGCTCCGAAATGTCTTTTTTAAAGGCCGTTTCTCACTTCAACTGTATCGCCGGTGACCCCCCATAGCTTTTTCGTTTATGTGTGTCGAATTCATTAGTTTCACCCTATATATTGCTCAGGAAACAAACAATTTACTATCCTAAGATGTTTGTGCAGCATTTTCCAAGGAATTTTCCATAGACGACCGGCATGTTTTGTCGTTGCGTGTCCAACTAATTTCTTATGTAACCACTTAAATGTTCCGTTAGCGTATTTGGCCTGACGTTCAAGCACGTGAATTGACCATTTGCGTAATAGACTAAATTTTGATCTAAACAAGTCTAGACAAAAATTTCATCACAGCTTGAAAGAGCATCACAAAATTAGTAATATTCCAAAGTTTCGTTGCGAAATGTTGTAAAATGCGGATAATATAGCCTTGCGAAGTTTGCAATTTTCAGTCATTTTAGATTACGAACGGGAAATTGACAGCCTCAAAGCGTATCTGTCAATTTCCCGTTTGTAATCTAAAATGACTGAAAATTGCAAATTTCGCAAGGCTATATTATCCGCATTTTACAACACTTCGCAACGAAACTTTGGAATATTACTAATTTTGTGATGCTCGTTCAAGCTGTGATGAAATTTTTGTCTAGATCAAAATTTAGTCTATTACGCAAATGGTCAATTAGGTTTTCTATTCGTGAATGTTTACGTCACTTGAATATTTAAGCTGTAATCTGACACGTCGCACATTTGTTTCAGTTCCGGGAGTCTCGCAGGCTACAATGCAAAGGAGGCTAAGTATAAGAGCATTTTCGACAAACAAAAAACGTTGGCAGTGTTTCTTTGCTTAATTAAAAGACATTTTCAGTTGCTTTACTAATGTTTCATAAAAAGTACAAAATAAAGAAGCTAGAATATAGAAGTCTAACAATTTAAGAGCAATATGACTGATCAAGACCAAGGCGGAAGAAAGGGCAAACGACGCGGTAAAAAGCAAGGAAGGGGAGGGCTGCAACAACAGCAGCAACGACAAAGTGAAAGTGTTCCCAGTGGCCCACAGCAATGCATAGAAAAACCACAAGGGGCTACAGCTTTGCCTGAGACACAAAAACAGCCACTCGAACAGCAAAGTCAACAACAAAGGGATGAATTACAACAAGCGGCTACGGCAATGCCTAACCAAGCAAGCGAACAACTGCAGCAAGATCAGAAACGATGGCAAAATCAACTGCAAAGAAAACAACAAGCTGGAGGTTGAACAGATGGGGCAGGTCCTAGTAGATCGGGTAATCTCGCAGTGCTCGGAAGACGCACTGTGATTGGCTGTTAGGTGAAAGGGTTTTCCCTACACGATTTTCGTTTCTCAAATGCGGAAGTGATTCCAACCGTAATCCTGCCAAAATAGCCGTGACGGTTCCAGTGGGTGCATTGGTTGCAATGGTTGCAGTGGTTGCAGTAGGTGCATTGGGCGCAGTGGGCGCAGTGGGCGCAGTGGGTGCATTGCTTGCAATGGTTGCAGTGGTTGCAGTAGGTGCATTGGGCGCAGTGGGTGCATTGGGCGCAGTGGGTGCATTGCTTGCAATGGTTGCAATGGTTGCAGTGGTTGCAGTAGGTGCATTGGGCGCAGTGGGTGCATTGGTTGCAATGGTTGCAGTAGTTGCAATGGGTGCAGTGGTTGCAGTAGGTCCATTGGGCGCAGTGGGTGCATTGCTTGCAATGGTTGCAATGGTTGCAGTGGTTGCAGTAGGTGCATTGGGCGCAGTGGGTGCATTGGGCGCAGTGGGTGCATTGGTTGCAATGGTTGCAGTAGTTGCAATGGGTGCAGTAGGTCCATTGGGCGCAGTGGGTGCATTGCTTACAATGGTTGCAATGATTGCAGTGGTTGCAGTAGGTGCATTGGGCGTAGTGGGTGCATTGCTTGCAATGGTTGCAATGGTTGCAGTAGGTGCATTGGGCGCAGTGGGTGCATTGGGCGCAGTGGGTGCATTGCTTGCAATGGTTGCAATGGTTGCAGTGGTTGCAGTAGGTGCATTGGGCGCAGTGGGCGCATTGGGCGCAGTGGGTGCATTGCTTGCAATGGTTGCAATGGTTGCAGTGGTTGCAGTAGGTGCATTGGGCGCAGTGGGTGCATTGCTTGCAATGGTTGCAATGGTTGCAGTAGGTGCA